GTGATGCCCCCCTGTGCAGCGCAGTGCCTGAGCCAGCCAGCACATGGCTCTGCTGCCCTGGGACATGGGGACGGCACTGGGAGCTCCCCTGGGATGCTGCAAACCCCACGGGGGATTTTGGACCATCCTCATGGTGACTGCCAGCCCGCCGCAGCACTGGCCACTGGGCGCTGTTATTAAGTGTACAATATCCCCGCACGGGGTGAGGGGAGAAATGATATAAAATTTCATATACCTAACATGGTGTATAAACAGGCTAAATCCCTATACATTTTCAAACTTCAGCAGTCTAAAGGTTAAAGCCTGTCAGCTGGATTTCACAAATTCCAGGAAGGAATGGAGAAGTCACGCCAACTCTTCATTGTATACCAGTGATCAAACATCTCCTCATTACACTTCAATATTGTTGCCTCTAAAGGTCACCATTGCTGAACATAATCACACAAAATCAAAACTGCAAACTTTATATATCATAGAGGTAGTAAATAGCTCGGAGGTTTATTTTCTGGTGCCTGAACAACATTCTGAGCCCATTTATAAATTCCTGGGTGCTGTGGCATGAACCAAACACATTCGCAGTGACTAACAAAAGCTTCAATTAAATCAATTTCCTGTAAAAAATATTCCAAATAATTTATTAGGTCAGTAGTGACTGGTCTAATCAAGCGATTGTTCCTTGGTAACTCTCATTTGCATAATTCAAAAAAGAAAAAAGAAAAAGAATTTTGATTATTATCAAAAAAAAAAAAAAACAAACACAGCTGATTTTTAACAAAACGATTTCCAGGTCAGATTCCTTAGATCGCTTTGTCCTCTATGCAAAGGGGAACCCAGAATCTATCAGGAGGTTTCTGGGGTATGCTGTAAATCACGTATCGCTCCATTATTTTCCCATTCACTGATTTTACTCACATCCATTTAGCCAGTCTGCCACCTCCTGAGGCACCGAGGCCAAATCCAGCCTCTGACCGCCAGCTAAAAGGCAGGCTGCAGAGGGCGGCAATATTTACGAAAGAAAATATTTGCGAGCATGTGATTTCCTCTCCACTTGGCTGCCTGCAGACCTGTGCCGGCAGCGCGCTCCTTTCCGAGCACAGCAGCAGGGAAGGCACCGAGCCACCGAGCCCAGGTGGCAGGGGGTCTGTGGCTGCCCACGGGGACACGGGGACACGCAGGACAGTGGGGTGGCTGCTGCCAGCGTGGGCACCATGGGGCTGCATGGGGCACTAGGGGCCCTGAAGTGCCTCAAGAACAGCAGAAAATGGAGATTTAGATCTGGGATGGCCACTTTTCCAAACCAAGGTCAAGGAAGATGGCAAAATTTGTGTTGAAAAGAGATCCCGCTATGTACAGAGAAATGAGCGCTTTTGTAGGAGGATTTGTGGGAGGATTCATGGAAGAAGGAAAACTTCCGACCACAAGAATTATTTGAAGCCAGTTGTCATATTCAGCCCAGGGCAAATATGAAAAAGGAGAAAATATAAACCAAAAAGATTTCAGCTGTTGGATTAATGTACTTTTTAACGGGCCATGTAACTTGAAAGACTTTTTCTTGGTCAAATGGGCCATTCAGCCAGCCCCAAACAGCATTTTGTGTCACTAAGAAAAAAAGCCAAGACTTTTCATGCCGGTCCAAACAGGACTGATTTGATGCCAGTTCCTCAGTTCAGCCCCCACACTAGAAAACCCACGCTGTTGGCCAAAAAGCTGCTTCCTGATCCTGAGACCGTGGGGCCCCTGCCAGGGCTGGATCACCCTGTGGCACCACGGGGCTTGTCCCTCTGGCACTGCCAGCTCTGCAGCTCAAGGACCTGGTGCAGCCCATGGTGTTCTCCCTGCATGCTCCGGCCCTGCCACCTCTACACAAGCATTTAGCCAAGGGGCAGTGCGTGGAGCAGCAACACAGCTGCAGGGGGGTTTAGCCACGCCGCTTCAACTCCTCGAGTCAAGAGTCAACTATCAAGGACAAGTGTTAAAAGCCGATCCTTGGCAGTTTATTTTAATCAAAGTGTAACGTGTTTATTTTTTTTTATTTTTTATTTTTTTTTCCTAAATCTGGAGGGCTTTCTTCCCCCTTTTCTTCATGAAGGAACGCTGCACAAGTATTAAATAAGCATAAGAATCGACATCTATCTGCCACCTGCTAGATTTCTTGCTTTGCGAAGTAAAGACTCAAAGGAGATGAAAAGCTCCATTAATAAGATTATCACCATTCTTTTTGATATCTAAATCTGTGCCACCAGGCCATCCTTCGCTGAGCAGCAGATTGCAATCAGCGCTGAAGTCCCAGGTTTTTGCTTCTGTGCACAAAATTGCAGGCAGTGCTGTATTGCTGGGTATATTCCAAACAGCGATGCCGCATCATTAGCATATTAGTGACAGCAGCAAAAATACTTAAAAACAAAACCGCCACGCACAAACAGCCTGTGTGCCAGGGGCTACTGGGACAGCAACTCGTTCTCACCTCGTTTCTCTAATGAGTCCTCATACGGCATTACAAGAAAACCAAGTGTGAAGTTCTGCAGGCGCTGCTGGACCCCTTGCCATTTCCGTGCGCTACCTATTTTATTTTTCCCGTAGCCTGGCTCTGTGCCGCAGGCAGTGCCGAGGGGCACCCCGGGCAGGGAGCATCGCCTGGCCGCCCCACGGTGCCGGCGGTGCCGAGGAGGGGACGCGGGAGCAGGCCAGCAGTATTTATGGCTCAGCGAGTCCCCACGTCTGCTGCGCAGAACTGCTTACACAGGAGTTTTCCCACACTCAGGTTTGAGCATTGTTACTCCTCTGCTTCTAATTTATGTGCAAATTGGGTTTGCCTAATGCATACACTGAAATACATTTTGCTGGAGTCCTCCTCAGTACAGAACCATTACCACTCTTGCGTGCGCATGACTTATTTATAGAAGAAATTTACAAATCGTTGTGTTTCAGTACTTCCCGTGTGCTTTTTCTGCAAGCCCCAGACTCAGCTGAGCGCGCTGCCTTGCCCACTGTGACCAGCAGTGAGGTGTCCCCGGTGCACCCCACCTGCCCTCCCCGCTGTCCCCCACGTTTCTGCACCACAGGCTGTGGGTGCACATGGGCAACTATCCCAGGACAGCACGGCCAGGGAGCAGGCTCCTGACCCCAACCTCTGCCAGAGCTTTGCCATGCCAGCCCTGCTCACTGCCCCCTTTCCTTCAAACATCCTCTCCCATGAATAGTCCTGCAAACCAGTTCAGCAGCTGTGCAATTTAAATGAATGTCAAAGCATGCAGAACACCAGGTCCCACGCAGCACACGCTGCTGTGTGTGGAAGAAAACCTTTCACCCCTCGCTGCCATCCTGGTGACTTCGTGTGGGGAGGGCCCCTGCTCTGCTTCCCATGCAGCAGGACGGGTGGGCATGCGAGGAGAGCCCAGCGTGGCTCCAGGCCTGCTGGCAAGGGGAGAACAAAACCTGCAGTCAGCTGGAAGCAGCAAGACACATCCCTTGGCAGTGCAGAATGTAAATGCAGCAGCTCTGTGCAGCACAATGGGGACTGAAGAGATTTACACCATGGGTGAAGATGCATCCCTGCGTGCCTGGAGTGAGCTTTGGCTCACCCAGGGCTGTGCCGGGGTGCCGGCAGCCCTCCTGGCCGTCCCCAGCCCTGGCTGTCCCGTGTGACTGTCAGGAGGGCCAGGATGCTCAGTGCCACCCTGCTGTGCCAGCTGGGCTGTCACCAGCACTGCGTCCCCACGGGTGGCCGCGACCTTTGTTTCCCCCCATTGTTTGCGGTGCCCATTCAGACGCTCAATGAACCCGCCTGCACCGCGCTGATAGGAGCCGCTTGGTGCTGCTGTTTGTGCTCACCTGGGGAAAAGGTTTTGTTGGCGGCCGTTTGACTGGGAAGGAAAGTGAAGCACGATGGAACCGTTTGGAACATGCCGAGGAGGTTCTCGGTTCTCCTCGTGGGCAGGGACGGGGGCCTGGTGCCGGCCTCCTGCCCGGGGAGGCAGCAGGAGCAGGGGGGAGCAGTGCCAGGCACAGGGGAGCCGCACACCACACCTGGCCGAGGGCATGTGCTCGGGGGCTCAGGATGCACCGAGTGCCCTGCACGTGGAACGGTTCTGTCCTGTGGGCCTGACCGGGGCCCCTGACGCCGGGTCTGTGTGAAGCAGCAGCGCGGGTTTAAAAGGGCCACAGGGAACGACGAGGACTGCAGGCAGGGAAGCTCCAGAGGATGATGAAACGCGCTGGAATAAATGGCCTCATTCAGAGCGGCGCTCAAAAACCCCGCATTGATCCGACGGGCTCAGGCAGCTTCTCAATGGCAGCGCCGTGGCATCCTGCTGAGTTCAAAAGATGGTCTTGTCTGGTCTGAAACAAGGCACTCAGACATTGCCGTCATTCAGCACATCCCAGAAACACACACTCCTTCGCCCCCTCCTCCCCCTCTCCCCTCCGGACACTTTCCTGTATAATCCCTCCCTTCAGGAGCAGAGGGGTCCCAGCCTCGCAGCTGCTCTCCAGGACTCAGCCCACCGCTGGCCGCCCCTGGCCCCTGGGCGCAGCAGCTCCTGCTCTGCGGAGATCTCCTTCGGGCAGCGGTGGCTGCCGGGGCACAAATGCACTCCAGGTTATTTCACTGAGATTCCTTTGAAAGCAAGGAGGTGTCTCGGGGAGGTAAATGCGATCTAATCTGTGCTAAGGTTTTCAGAAATGGATTCCACCTTTTCCTGGGAAACCTGCACTGTAATTAATCTGGTCAATATACAGACATTTCAGAGAGGTTTTTTTATGCCAGTGCTATAGGGATAGGTGATTTGCACAACCAGATTTTGCTGCTTTTTACCATGACAAAGGAACCGGGTTCATATGAATAAATCTGTAGCAAGACCACACACAATTATTAGGCTTAATACCAATTGTCCCTCATTAATGTTTCAGAGGAGCGATTAGCATTTTGAGGCAAACAAGGTGTACTTAGTTAGTGGGACGCGACCCAGCTGTCATTAAATTACATCTATGATTAATGATCTTCAGAGGCAGAGAGCTTCAAGTTTGGGCACTAATGAAGAGCTCAGAGGGAGGGGAAGCTGGCACCCAGCACCGGGACAGCCCGAGGGCAGAGCCCAGCGCCTCGGGGATGTCCCACATGGGGATGTGGTCAGGACAGGCTGCACAGGGGAGGCTCTCATGAGGTAAAACAGCCAAAGGCTCTCAGGACATTTCCTTAAACCAGAATGTTTGTGATTGTGATGTATTGTGATGATCCTAAAGCAATAGCCCCGGCAGAGAGCAGATGCCTCCCACGCTGGTTGTTGCTGTGGCATGATACAGTTGTGGCCCTGAGAGCACCAAAGGTGTTCCAAGCATAAACCAGCGTGTTTCTTCACAGGTTGGGATCATGGAATTGTAGCACCATTGAACAGCCCAGGCTGGAAGGGACCTCGGAAGATCACTGGGTCCAACCTCCCCTGGGAAGAGGGAGCCTAGATGAGATTATCCAGCACCCAGCCCAATCCCATCCTGAAGACCTGCAGTGATGCTGATTCCACAACATCTCTCGGGAGGTGATTGCTCTCACTGCAAAAAAAAATCTTTATTGTATCAAGAAAAGACTTCTCCTGGTACAAAGTGTACCAGTTCATTGTCTCTTGTCTCTTCCATGTGGCTTCTTGGGACAGAGCCTCTGCCCTCTTTGCAGTTACCCCAAAGTACCAGAATACTGTGACGAGGCCTCCCCAGAGCCTTCTCTTCTCAGGGTGAAAAGACCCAACTCTGTCAGCCTTTCCTCACAGGGCAGGTTCTCCAACCCTCGGATCATCCTCATGGCCCTCCTTTGGAATCTCCCATCTGTCCTCATCTTTTCTGAATTGTGGGGACCAGAACTGGACACAGAGCTGCAGGCACAGCCCAACAAGCGCTGGGAGGAGTGGGATGCTCACCGGTTTGCAAGCAGGGCACAGTACTCCTCTGATCTGACCAAGACAGCCCCCCCAAAGGGGGGTTACATGTTCAAAACACAGTGTCTGGGGGTTGGCAAGGTCGTGTCAGATGCTGAACGAAGACGTGCCCCACAGACAGGCTTTGCTGGGTGAGAAGCCATCTGCCTCACTGGCCCAGCAGCACTGGTGCCTCCACCCAGCAGGGCAAGTTCTCGGAGTCTCCAAGTGCCCCAGTTCCTCATGAAATGGTATGATTTATACAAAACTTCATAACTTACTCAGTAACTGAAAATGATTATTAAAAGTGGTTGAGGAATTGCAGCACGGAAGGTCATTCTGTAACTGGGGATTGAGTAAACAGTGGAGGCCAGGAGTTAGTGTCATGAACAGACGTGGCCAACGGGTACTTACAAATGTTTAGTATTTAGAGGAAAAAAAATGCTATTTTTGCTGCCAAAATTTAATTTAATTAGGGATTGTTTGGGTTTTGTTCTTTTTAATGTGGTTTGTTTGTTATGTTCATTGAGAAGCATCATTGCCATGGTAACTGCCATGCCGCGTGTGGGGCAATGTGCACACTTTTAAGCGGCGCACAGGGTGCGGTGTACCCACGGATGTGTGTAGCCAGTATGCCAGAGGATACGGGGAGATCCATAACAAGAGCACTAAAAAGCTTCGGAACAAATTAGGAAATGTTATTTGTCTGTACAAACAAGAACGCTTTCTTGGCCTTCCTTAGTTTTTATTTATTTTTTTTTTTTTTTTTTTTCCTCAACACTCCTACGTAAGCATTAAAAGAACAGAGGGAAAATTAAATGAAGCTGTGGGAAGAATGCTGAGTTTACCATCTGATTTTGATTTGGGATATTTCTGTGGAAATAAAAAGATGTTTTTTTTTTTAATTATTTTTGTTTTTCTTGCTGGACAGTTGTTGCAGACACTTAGCAAAACAATCAAGATGCACTATTTGGCCCAAAAAATGTTCAGTAGTGTGTGCCCAGTAAATTTGCAATGGGAAAACAAGCCGAAAAATGCTGCTTTTTCCCCTTTCTGTTGGTTTTGTGGGAAAGAGAACGCTATGTGCACTATGAAAACACCAGAGATTAAATAGCTCAGCAGAAGACAAGGAGGCGTTGCACAGGTCTGCTGTTGGATGGCCAGAGGGCTCTCCCCACAGCGATGTGCTGTGCAGCCGGAGGTGTTGCTGAGGCCGGGGTTTGTGTGTGCACAGCGTGGTGAGGCCGAGGGCAGCAGAAGACACAAGGGCACGGTGGAGACCTCCAGGGCTGTAGGTGTGGGCCATCACTGGGGCTACCTGCAGCTGAGCACCCAGGTGTTTTCTGCCCAGAAAAGTCAGTCTGCAGCTGCTGCAAAGTTTAATTAAATGCACAAGCTTAGTTTATACCTTTTTTACCCCTACTTATTTCTATTGATTTATCTGGTTTCCAGCTGCAGATTAGCATAGCACTGGCCTGATTTACACTCCCATTGCTTTTAAGAGTATTACAGTTCACAATATCATCCATTTAAACATGATGTGATACTCACCGGGCTCGTTCTTCCTGCCACTGAAGTGAGTGAAAAATTTGCCATTGACTTCAGTGGATCAAAACCTTAATAACTAATTTATAGCTTATTATATTATTAATATTTGAGTTCTTTCTAACACGTCCTAAGTTACACCTGCTATTTGAATGCGTGCTGCCAGCACTGCTCAGTGCTCCCTGCTGCTCGAGGCTACAGGTTTACACTGGATATCACTTAAATTGTGCGTGCTTGTTTAAAACCTTACTTCATGGTAAGGCGCATGGTGCCCTGAGGAGCTGTGCCTCCCCATCCCTGGTGGTGCCCCGGGCCAGGCTGGGTGGGATTTGGGCAGCCCAGGCTGCTGGGAGCTCCCTGCCATGGACTTTGAGGTCCCTTCCAGCACAGCCCAGCCGATGGCTCCACGTGTCTGTCTCACCTTCCTCTCTGGTGTCCACAGAAACTCGCCACTGCCGGGGCTTTCCTCTCCTCTCCTGGCCCCACGGGGGAGGAGGTGAGAGGAAGGGAAGCAGAGAAGGCAGAAGTGAGCTCCATGTGACCGGGACCGACCTCCAGCCGAAAACGTCACGCTGCTGCACAGGGCTCTTGTGGTATTTGCACACTGAGGGCACGGAGTTGCTGTCATGTCAAGAAACGTGGGGAAGCGTGCGCTGCTCGCTTCTTCCTTGCTAGCGGGAGAGCCGCGTGCAGTGCTGATGCAGAGGCCTCGGATGGAAACTCAGCGCTCCTCCCAAACACCGACCAACCCAACCTCGGCCTCCCCGGGGTCTCCCTGTGAAGTTACCCACCTCAAAGGGCCGGTACCAGGAGAGGGGTGGCTGGCAGTGACCTGGTCCCATGGTTACCCGAGCCCTGCTGTGACCTGCACGTGGCGCTTCTGCTGCAGCGCAGCCGGCACGACGCCTTGTCGCCATGAGATCTGAAGCTGAGAACATGGCATGCCTTGGACACAACTCATATCTATTATTTAGAACTGTCCTCCTCACAGAATTAATTAACATCTCTCTCTCTCTCTCTTTTTTTTTTTTTTTTTTTTTTTTTTCCCCTCAACACAGCACATCTAGTAAGAAATCTGGCATTTTGACAGATGACTATGGATATTTTCCTATAGAGACATAACTGTGGGGGGGGGGGGGGGGAGGAAGGAGGCATGGGCTCTCATTTGTAAATTGTTTAATAAAATTGCACCTGGCAGGCACCCAGGAAAATGAATGGTAGGGGAGCTTTCACGTGGTAGCTTCTGGGATCGAGACGAGGGGCTACCAGAGGCACTGACAGGGGGGTGGCCCAGGGGGCAGGCAGGTGCCACGCTCCGTATGCGAGGCTGAAGGGTGGCATGGATCTGGCTACGGCAGGAGTCTCTGCATGCGGGGTGGGAGCTGGGGCTGTCTGCACCCTCTACAAGCACAGAGCTGAGCCCAAACCCCACCTGACAATGCTGGCACAAGGAGAAAGAAGGAATAATGGGCACGAAGGGATAAATTCAGTCTGGAAACAAAACTCCCCAGCTATCAGAGAGGACTGATGGAGCCACGTGGCAGCACATACAACTTAAGGGCAGTGCGGGAGCTGCATTCCCACCAGGTCCTGTGAAAACCCAGGTGCAGCAGGAGAGGCTCCTCGCTGTGAGCACCTCTGTGCCCTGCAGCAGCTCCCAGCCAAACTGGCCCAGGAGGGGTCGCAGACAGCCAAGCACAGGTGGAGTGGAAGCGATCACAACATTCAGCCCCTCCATCTCCAGCTCCAAAAGCATCTCTTTGGTTTCACCACCTCCAGACAAGAAAAGCCTGTGCAGGAGGTTACGTTCCAGCACCGAGTTGTGGTGGTGTGCATGCCAATGCTTGCACTTCACCGGCCACCTTACTCCATAAACGCATCATCAGTGGGACACACACAAAAACACCGGGCAGTGGCAAAGCACAAGTCATCTCCTCCAGCGTGGGTATGGCCCATAATAAGTCACGAGAGACAGAATAAGATATGAAGGTCACTCACTTATGCATGGAAATAAATTATATTATACCATCAACTAAGTTTCTTCAGCCAGTCATAAAGCAGAATACTGCTAAGTAATTTACTCGCAAATGATGGTTATAAAACGCTCACACTCCAACAAATCAAATGGCAGCATGCCACCCAAATCCCCATGTTGTACCCACTGGTGAAGAACAGTGAAATGCCCCCAGCCCCAGCCCTGGTGACGCTGCTGACACAGGCTCCTTGTGCCTCGCCGACCACCAGCGCATGGCAAAGCCTTGGGCTTCACGCCAATGTTGCATCCCTCCACTGCGCACCTTTGTGTAATTAAAAGTAATTAAAAAAAAAACAAACATCATAAAAGTAAAAATTACCTGTTCCTGACCACTTCTTATTTGCAGGTCTGAGAAGTGACTCATCTTGCTTATTTGCAAGATGAAATTATAAGGTGGATGAGGTTTTTGTCACTTTCTGGGCACCCTCATCACCTCTTGCCCAAGACGTGGAAGATGCTGCCATCCAAAAACACCCAATGACCACATTTCCAGGGTTTGCATCCCACAAAAAATTAATAAAGCTCCAATCTACAACCTCAAACTACTTCTACAACATGCAGTCCAGCCAGAGCTGCCAGTGCTGGTACCTACACCTGAAACAAGCATGTGTGGGCTCCCACAAGCTCTCTTTGGGGATGTAGGTGGAGAGGGAGGCTTTATTTTCTCTTGTTTTAAAGCAAAGCTCGGTCTCCAAAGCTAAAACTGCTCTTCCAGACACCTGAGCGTGGTGCTGCTAGTGCCTTGGGCACCTGTGGGCAATGCCTCAAGCCCAGACCACATTGTGTGAGGCTTTCTTTCTCCTGACAAAAGAAATTTCATGTGAATATTTTCCTTCATAATAAAATTCAGGTGTCATGTTTTTCTTCTAGAAAACTGGGTATGACCAAACTTATGCTAAAAATAATAAATACTGGTTATTTTGTGAGGCTGTGTGTTGATATCGGAGATGCATAAAGCAATACCTTCTTTAGCATTTATATGTTTAACATAAAGAAGGAAGCACACACATACCACATATTCTTAAATAGAAGGTGAGGCAAGGCAAAACTAACAAGTGTTAAAATAACAGGGCAGAGACTACAGCATGGTTATGTTGCTGAGAGGGTGGAAGCAGCCTCTGGAGTATAATAGGTTTTAAATTGGAGGCCTCTACTTAAAACCCAGAGGAAATAAGAAGGGTCAAAAAGGCGAAAATTGCACAACTGTTATATTACTTTAAAAGACAATCTAATTTCGTCTTCAGAAATTGCCATGTTTTTTGGAAGATGCCTTTGACAAAAGATGTCACAATTCAGGTCCATTGCTGAATGAGAGAGTGGTCAAGAACCCAGAATTTTATTCATCTTAAATGTTTCTGTGAGCGTGCCATAAAGACGTGGCATTTCATAAAAATGATTCGGTATAAACTGGGGAGGGTGGGGGTAGGGTTGAACTCAGGAATACAAATTGAAACAGGAAAGATCTGTTCAAGGCCAGTGCTACGCGCTCCTACTTAGAAGATATGCAGAGCAAGCATCGCGCAGAGTGCACAAATCCTGCCAAAAGACACTGTTGACCCATACAGTGGAAAAACAGAGCGTCTCCTTCCCCTTGCTGTCCGCCCGCCCGGCTCACTCAGGCTGGACTTTCCACCTTGGTTTGCCAAGCTCCCTGGAGCATCAGATGTGTGGTAGAAAGAGGAAGGTGCACCCCGTGCACCCCGTCACCCAGCTCGGGGCCCTCTGCGGTGCGAGCGGGCTGGCGGCAGCAAAACCCTGAAATCACTTCTGTTTTCTGTCTCAGTTCCCCAGTGCGGCCGCTCCCGTGCTGGCTACGGGGAAGCCGTGGAGGCGAGGGTGTGGGTGGGGGAATCACCCAGTAAGTAACTGGTGCTTGCATGGAGAAACACAGCCAGGTGACCCAGCGCGCCGCATCGCCTCCGCAGGGACTGGTCACAAGGCAGAGGGACATGCAGGAGAGACGGGAAAGTTGGGCTGCGTTTGCTGCGGTGATGTGTTTGTGCAGCATCCTTCAACCAGGGACTTCTCACCACCCCCAGCTAGCAGCCCAGCCCAACATGACCCAAACTCAAACAGGACAACCCAACATGACATGTCCCAAACCAACGTGACCCAAACTAAAACAACCCAACCCAACACGACTCAACACAACACAACAAAACACTCTCCTACCACTCCTCTCTCTACGTACCAGCCCACCACCATCCGTGGTTTGGATTTTAGCCTATTGTTCTACAAGCTGAAAAGCCCTATGAAATACAGGGAATTATACAAATTCAATCTCAATTTTCCTATACACTTTTTAGAAGTGGTCCCTGTCTCTGAGGCCTGTAACATTTAGTCTTTTGGTCAAAATATCTAATTCTACAAATTTGTGTATTTCTTTTTAAGAAGCTAAACCCAGCAAATATTTCTGTGTATTACAGCAATATTTTCTAATATGACAATACACTTTTCACCAGGGCATGCTTAGGCCTAGTGTGACTAATTTCCTGGTTTCCCTGTTCTCTCTTCCCAGGTATCGAAGGAGTGGACCATATTTTCAAGAGAGCTCAAGTTTTTGCCAGTCTCTC